GAGTGAAAAGGAAGGGAGAGAGAGTGAAAAGGAAGGGAGAGAGAGTGAAAAGGAAGAGAGAGAGTGAAAAGGAAGAGAGAGAGAGAGTCATTATCCTTCTGTCCTCTAGTGTACCTCATCTCTGGGGGCTTCTAACTGGCCATGTTAATTATTTGCGTAACACAGAAATACTGTAACAGAATAGTCAGCCTTATTTCACTCCCTGGTGAACATACAGGACACAGCTGGACATGATTCCCTCAACAAAGAATAAACATAAAAATTGTGGCGAGAGACAATGGATGATGATTTCCGCCGCGAGATACAGTGAACCCCGAGACGCTACACCATTGTGATGGGCGTGATGATGGTCCAGTGTTATGGATCGTTTGTTCATTTTGAAAATAATTATGACGGCATTTTAGTGCTATGGCGGTAGTTACAATTATTTATTTGTAAATCTAGTTGTATATTAAGAAAATGCTTTAAAAGACGGGAGACATAAAGCTTCTAATTGACCAAGTGAATCCTGGTTACGTGAAGGTGAATAAGGATCGTTTGACGTCATCAGTTTATATTAAACTCTGATTTGTCCATATAGCTTACCATGTAATTCACTCATGTTTCACTGGGTAACTCATCGTGTGCTTACTCTAGAACTGTGGCCTCGTGAGACGTGTCTTTATTGTCAGATGTGATTCGTGAGGGCGAGTAGACATTTAGTTATGAATCATTTGGATCATGTGATTCGTGAGGGCGAGTAGGCATTTAGTTATGAATCATTTGGATCATCTTAAAGTCTTACCCAGAGTGTAATGTTGGGAATACAAGAAGTTGACCCAATCCGAGCTACTTAAATGTTAGCATTTTGCCTTTACTTGGTACATAAGGCGGCGGAACAAGAGTGTCTCCGTCATGAAGGTGTTCAATAAATGAACCGTAACGTCAGAGAGGGAGACGCCCTACTCCAGTGTTCACCGCCTCGCTCCTCGTCCAAATTAATTACTTGTGCATGTCAGCAACACAGCGGCCCCGCAGGTACAGCAGGCCATCACAACTGGTTGTTCAAAGTTTCTGCAGAGTCCCTAATGGCTTGCAGAGTTATGAGGACGGATACCCAGCGGCATGTTGCCCACTAAACAAATCATACATACATACATACATACATACATACATACAGTTCATACCTGTACATACATTATTTTCTTGATCATTGCAACAGTCAATAAACAAATCTATTTTCCTCCACATGCACAACATCTACCAACAATATAAAGTAATTCATTATAAAACACAACAACCATCTGTGGTCGATTCATGAATACATTTATTTTACAAGTCTCACCTTTTTTGGTTTATGTCCTTAAGATAACACTGGCTTTGTCTCCGGGGGTCAACAACCCTATATCATGAAAGACTGACATATTGTTAGTTTTACAGATATGGTGGAATAGTCTGTGGGCCACAAGGCAACCCGCTGCCGTTGTCTGAGTGAAAGTTTCGCGTGATGGTCCTCTAATGTCTGCACAACTTTAATAAAAAAAAAATTCGGGCAGCCAGTGCCTGCTGGAGCAATATAATATATGAGATAACGTATGAAGCCTCTGGAGGTCACCCCTGGCACTCCTTATTGACCCCCTGGTACTCCTGACCCCTTGACACTCTGACCCCCCGACACTCAAGACCCCCTGATACTCCTACACCCTGGGACTCCTGACCCCCTGGTACTCCTGACCCCCTTATACTCCTGACCCCCTAGTACTACTGACCCCCAGGTACTTCTGACTCCCTGACACTCTCGACCCCCTGACACTTCTGCCCCCTGGTACTCCTGACCCCTTGACACTCTGACCCCCGACACTCAAGACCCCCTGATTCCACACCCTGGGACTCCTGACCCCTGGTACTCCTGACCCCTCCTTTATACTCCTGACCCTAGTACTACTGACCCCTGGTACTTCTGACTCCTGACACTCTCGACCCCTGACACTTCTGCCCCCTGGTACTCCTGACCCCCTTGACACTCCATTCTGACCCCATGGTACTCCTGGCCCTTGTACTCCTGACCCCCTGATATTCCTGACCCTTTATGAAATTGTCTTATTCCTAACATCAAGCAACAAAGAGAAGATAAAACATTAAAAAATGAAAATATTTGATCAGTGTGAAAACAAATTTTGCTTCGCCTTGCGTGAAAAATGCCTCAAACACCGAAGGTTAGTTATTTATGGAACTTGGATGACAAGCTCAATGTTGACCAAGAAAAATAATGGATTTCTTTTAAAGACTGTGGATCAGAGGTCGTGGTAGCAGCTGGAGGTCATTTAAGTGTCAGGAGGATGAAGTTTCAAAATTTGACAGGTACGATGGGTGCTTAGCATCTACCCAACCTGCCATGTTTCTTTATAAGTGGTCGACCTCCTAAATTTCATTATAATTGGGGAACGTATGTTTTGAACGTAATGCAACGCAACGCAATACATCACAAGAGAGAGAGAGAGAGAGAGAGAGAGAGAGAGAGAGAGAGAGAGAGAGAGAGAGGTGTGTGTGTGTGTACAAAAATTGGCAGATGTTGACAACAAACAATTATAACTCTTAATACACAAACTAGAATGTCAAGGACCATTGATTTAGGTGGTAGAGGTAATTCATCAATAAGGTAGACATACAATATGAGACATAACAATGAGAACAGACAGTTAATGTAGCTGTTAACCGTAAAATAAATTATATTAATTTTGGTGAACACAGATCAAAGTTTAAGCTCTTAACTGAGAGTCAAACACTTTGCCCTTTGGTATTATCTAAACAACAGGTAAGTTGCATTTTTGAGGACATCAGGAGCTGGTTTAACATGCGCGTGGTGAACCGAGAACTCATACATTTGTTATGAAGAAAATAACCAAAGGCTATTAAAAAAATGTTGTTGAAATTGCACATATTGAATAGAGGTTTAAGCAAGGATTTCTGATCTAACTTTAGATAATGAGAGTCAAACGAGTCAAAGCTCAAGATCACTTGATATTGTCTACAACAGGTGGTTGTGTATGATGTCTTGGATCACCTCAATATGTACAAAAGTTCGTGGTTGAGGAATGGGTAAATACAGTACACTCAAATATCGTGAATAAGCAAACGCTAATGCTATTATAAATACATTGGTTTGTTGATTGAATAAAAAAAAACAATTATAAATCATATACCTGTACACATTAATCAGCTGATGAGATATATGAAGGATTAGGACGCGTGGCTGCCTACAGCAACACAATCACGAGGGATCAACACACAAGTGAGGTAACTTGGGACGTGACGAGAGTTAATGTGTTACTGTATACTAACAAGAGAGGAAGGAGCACACTGCGTCTCTCTCAGTTCTGTTTAACTCATCCTCATTCAAGCTACTTCATTCACGTAATTTATCTTATATCCTTCTGTTTCATACAACCCTTTTTCTCTTCACAGTATATATATTTTTTGGGTGTATTTATTATTAATTTATTAGTGTCATCTCCGCCCCTTCTGTGTTTTCCTTTGCAGTTGAATTCCCCTTTCATATTCCTCACCTCTCCCCTTCCAGTGTTTCTACATTCTATTTTATCGTCGTGCTTCCCTCACATGCTCCCTGTTTATTTACCGACTCTCGTCAGTTATCACTTATATTCCAGTGTTTCTCGTCCAGCAGAGCAAGATGTATTCAACGGAGAGGGTCAGTGCCACACTAGACCACTTGATCGTGTATGGATATATCTTCACCCACGGCCGCATATTGACGCACATATGCACTAACACTCATATTTGCTTCCATCAATTTTCCAGATAGATTTTGATAAAGGCTGCATATACTACGGTAAATAGCCAGCTACCTTTTAATTATCTAATTTCTTGATCGCGTCTTCGCAAGTCTAACACTGCATTTACATTTATCTCAAATTATAGCGCTGTCTCTGTCTCTTTCTTTCGCTGAGCACTTACATATTATTGTTTTATAATTCTTCCTCTTTTTAATTCTTCTTTTGTTTCATATATTTTTGTTTCATATACAGAACTTTTCCCCAAACATTTCATGTTTCACCTCCGTCATCCAGGCCGTTGTTCCCCACAACAATTTTTATCTGCTTCAATGTTCCTCTTTTTCCCGAACTCGACAGGTGCCAGTTTTTCATTCAAATGTTTACATTATAATTTTAAGTCTCATTACTTTCCTATATTATCTCTGTCCTTACTTCTTATTACCTGGCCTGGTGAGAGCACCACCTCGTGCCCTGGACTGGCAAGAAGGCCACCTGATGTCCTGGCCTGATAAGGACATTACCTCGTGTCTTGACCTGTTAAGGACGACACCTCGTGTCTTGGTCTCTTAAGAAGGACACTTCGTGTCTTGACCTGATAAGAAGGACATCTCGTGTCTTGGCCTGATAAGGACATCTCGTGTCTTGGTCTAGTAAGGAGGACACCTCGTGTCCTGGCCTGGTAAGGCGGCCACTTGCCCCAACTTGGCGGTGGTGGTAAGTGCCGTGCCAGACTTGTGACAGGCAGCAGCTACTCTCAGTAACTTCGTTGTCAGCCACCACCACTTACAGTCTTCACCACACTCAACACTTTTCTCAACAACTCGCTGACGTCACGAGGAGACTTTAATTACTCGCCAAATTCTGCTGACGCAAAGTCTTAAAATTTGGTACGTGAGCTGACTGTCAATTTACTGATTACACGCCACCGACTCCTTGCACCCAGACGTTTTTAGCAGATTGTGAAGCTTTTATAGTGCAACTTGGAGTTTTACTAGATTATTTAAATATTATATGTTGTAATTAAGTTTTTAAATATTTTCAATCATACACTGTCAATATGTAAATAAACATATAAATAAATAAGATTTGTGGTGAGAAAGTATGTGGTGGAAACTCACGTTTTTCTGTTTTATCTTCTCCTACAGTGGGATTTCAGCGTTATGATTTAGAGGAACTGTTCTTCCCGCAGACACAGTAGACTAACACACACTGTTCCTCCTCCCTCAGGTTCAGCTGCGGGGTTCCAGAGGTTCCGCGTGACGCCCGAGAGTGTGGAGGTGATGGAGGGCGCTGATGTGTTCCTCCGGTGTGTGGTGGAGAACCAGCAGGGCAAGGCGCAGTGGACCAAGGACGGCTTCGCTCTAGGTCAGTATCAAGTCTCTCTTTCATCTGAATTATCGGTATACATTCTGACTTGTTTAACTTATTGACTGGTTATGGGAATGTATCCATTTGACACTAATCGGAAGTATTTCAAAAACAAAACTAAGTGTGACAACAGATATTTCTTTTCTTAACTATTAACTTTACATCATCGCCGTCCCATTATTTATAACCTTATACTTTCTACGCCCTCCCTGTTAACATGTTCTTTAACCACATCAAACAACAACATTACTTAAGGTCTTCGTAAACTGTACTCATTAGATCCATATACTCTAATTCCTTAAACGAAATTGTAATTGTATTATTCTCAAAATGAAACAAATTGCTATTACAGATTCTACCTAAGCAATACAGCCTGCCTTTCTGATATGGTTCAAACCTATCAAGTTAAAAATGCCACACAACATAAACACGAACAAGGTACAGGTCACAAACCCCCCCATTCACCTCCCTGCATAAACTCAGCGCCAACACACAAACATTACAGTGAACAATTACCGTCTCTTCAAGCGGAATCATTACCAAGACCTTTACAGCCCTGTCCTCCCACCAGTCAATCTTATCTCTCTCTCTCTTTTGATAATAATTAATAATCCTTTCTCGTTGCCCAAAATATCTCAAAGGTCTCCGGAAAGCTGGCATTATATTCTACAGAGTTTATTGACTTGATTTTGTTCTCTTCATCCTGTGTCTGGTCGCTCCTCACCCATATCCTACTACCTGTCACCTCAATAGGGTTTTGTTCTTGTAGTGTCCTTGTAGTGTTATCTTTTCGCCTTCACCCACCTGAATTATTGGGAAGGTCATATTCACTATTTTCCCGTTAACTATGAGGAGTTCGCTAAGGTTCTGTTAACATATAAATAATATCCCCATGTTATTAATGAAAGGTCTGTCAATAATCACATCAAATATCATCCTAATCTCCTTCATCATTCATCCACTCTTCTCCCTCCAGACTGCCTATAAATCAATACACTCAACTCAGATCTCAACGCCATCACATATGAGGGAAATGTTAACCTTGTAACATTTACTACTTTTTAAAGCTCAGGGACCAATCATCTCTCACGCGCAAAAAAAAATATAATTCCCAACCTCTCATTTTTACTAGCATGTTCATATCTCTTTTCCTTACCAATCGTCTCTTCTAAACAAAAATAAACTTATTTATTCTTTGGAACAACACCTAACCTAACCTAAGAAAAAGCAATAAATTAGTCTTCTCTTCTTAATCATTCACTCTTTAAGAAAATGTTAATCTGTTTAATACGACAGATTAATCGTACAGCTAAAGACATCCCAACGAAAATACAGTCAGAAGCCACAGTACTTATTAATGCCGCGGCTCTCACTTCTGGCTTCTCTCCCATTCATACAGTATTAAGCAAGCTGTGTGTCTCCTACCTTACTCTACTTTTATTTTAAGGATCATATGTACAAGATATTCCATTGTTTTTCTTAAATACACTGTAGAGCCACCACACGCACACGCACACACACACACACACACACACACACACACACACACACACACACACACACACACACACACACACACACGCACACACACACACACACACACACACACACACACACACACACACACATCTTCCTCTCTCATCTTTAATTCATTGCACCTCGCGACACGAGTGCTCTCTCTCTCTCTCACTCTCCCTGCACACGTCTTCCCTCCATGTATCTTGCAGTCACCACACACTCGACATTCACTTGCCTTAACGAAAATATTCTTCAGCAAGAAGTATTACATCAAACTTAGACAATATCATCACCACTGCTAGCATTAACACACCACCATGACTGCCACTGTAACACCACCATGACTGCCACTGTAATACCACAATGACTGCCACTGCAACACCAACATGACTGCCACTGTAACACCACCAACTGCACGTAACGACCCACTGTAACACCACAATGACTGCCACAACACCACCATGACTGCCACTGCAACACCACCACTGCAACACCACCATGACTGCAACACCACCATGACTGCCACTGCAACACCACCATACTGACACCACCATGACTATGACTGCCACTGCAACACCACCTCCCACTGCAACACCACCATGACTGCCACTGCAACACCACCATGACTGCCATTGCAACACCACCATGACTGCCACTGTAACACCACCATGACTGCCACTGCAACACCACCGTGACTGCCACTGCAACACCACCATGACTGCCACTGCAACACAACCATGACTGCCACTGCAACACCACCATGACTGCCATTGCAACACCACTACGACTGCCACTGCAACACCACCATGACTGCCACTGCAACACCACAACCCTGATGGTCGATACAGTACCTCCCCTCCACCACCATTCACTCACCAGTGTTCCACTGTAACTGTCTCGACAAAACCTACAACCGCTTTAATGGATTCCGCCCCTCCGTCGCCGCTGGCTCTCTCTCCCTCCTGTACCACAAATAGGAAAGTAAGAAAGAAAAAATTATATAAGAATAGTTGTGTTTTCTCCCCCGACCAACTGGGGCCGGGCCTCTGGGAAATTTGTCATTGGTGTTGTAAGCGACGTGGTTAAGAGTATTATCCCCGGGGTGGTTGTGGTGCTTCCTAAAGAGTGTCTCTCATGTCGTCAACTATGATGCCACTAAGATATGAGTTTTATATAACATACACAGTGTAGTCCCCGTGTACATAACAGTGTGTACCTAACGTTGACGGCGGTGTAACTACAAATAGTCTCGTTATATTTTCCAACGTACAGAATTTATATAGTATGATAGTGAAAATAATTCGTTTATATGCAAATAAATCACTGTAGGTGCGCGTGATCCATTACCAACGTTCGAACCATTAATTCGCTAAGTGAAGGATGGAGGTGTTAGCCTGAGATACTGAATGACTTATTTGATGATATAACTTCCATCCTGTTTTAGGCTTTGTGAGTATCTAATTTGTGTTTGTACCAGCAATATAGAAGAAGCTGTGAGCCCACCAGCCACACCGAGGAAATAAAATCAAGGAATTTGAAAAACAAAAATACAAAACAAAAATACGATCATTTACCAGTAATGGAAGTTTGTTGTGTTTCTATGAACATCCGAAAGTTGGTATAAAAATTAAATATTTTCCAACAGACAGAACACATATCATGAGGCAGTGATACTCAACCAGTTTAGTGCCATTCATAACCTCTTGAAGATAACTATATCTACAAGTACCTCACGCCTATTAAAATATCAGTAGGGAATAACCATATGAGTGAGCAAATAAGATAATATCCATGTAGCCCACTTTATCCACATTATCCGCTTTATCCACTTTGTCCACTACACACACTTTCACTCTTCTTCTCTTATAACTCCTCTACTTCTCTTTCCTTACTATCCAGTCTCTCAATGTGTTAGGTTCCTTGGTTCAGAAAACTCCGCTGGTCTTGGTGTAGATTGCAAGTTATAAACGTGGATCAGCGGCGCGCCTTCCAGATAATAATTGGACCTGAACTTTATGGTAATGCATAAGGAGGCTGTCCAATCAGAAAGCGAAAAATCCTGGAATAGTAGAAAAGCCTATTTACGACTGGTTGGGTCTACGCTGCTGTCTATGGAGGACTACCCTAGAGGTTACTACTACTACTTGACGTACTTCACCAACATTGGCTTGTGATGGTTTTATGTTCATCTGATATGGAACCCTTGAACCTGATATCATCATCCCCACAACACGTATACAACAAATTCACCCAATACCAATTAAATGTTATTCCCTCTGTATGGTATCTGGTCCTCTCAGCCTAGATTCAATTAAAGCCCCGGGACCTGATGGCATCCCCCTTTCTCATCGCAAAAAATAAAAAATAAATGCATTCGAACTTGTTCCTGTCCTCTCTAAGGCTTTGAACATCCTTACCCCTTTAATAGTGCTCCCTCATCTTGGAAATTAATCAAGTCCAAACCCGTACCCCAAAAGAGGTAATCTATCGTTTACCTCCAACTATCGTTCCATAGCACTCATCTCGATTAACGATCACTTCTTCAACATAATTAAGAAGTCTTTATGGATCTACCGTCCTCAGTTTGTGATATCTGTATGATTCCTTGTCCAAATGACATATCAAAATTTTTAATAACTTACGCAATGCTAATTACTTGCCACCTAAGGTTTTTCAAGGTCACTTTTTGGTGTTTATGTGTTATTCTGGACGTACTTACATAGTTAGACACATTAAATTTCAATTCTGAGAGATTTTGTTCAAAGTCTCAATGCATGTACTCCTGCACATGCTGATTTATGATGGCATGTCTTATAAAGTCTTCAGTATTCCTAAACTGAGAAAGTATTTGTGTTTCCTTCTGTTTTCCGACAAATGCTAATAGTTCTTTATGAAATCATTCTAAGGTTTTTTTTCCAGACGATGGTGATGCTGAAGATTAGATCAAATTAAATTTCCAGCTCGTTGTGGATACTTTCAGGTTGTCAAAGGCGGCCTGCAAGTTTGAGTGACATTTTTAACTGCAAGTTTTGGTTTATTAGTTCAACTCTCGTTAACTAACGGGTAAACGAAGCCAAATCTTGTAATGTTGTTTCCTTATGAACACAAGAGGAAGTTTTGTCTTTCCATGAAAGTGGAAAAATCACAGTAAGCGCGAGGCAGTTCTCTTATATTTTGTTTTTCTATTTACTTATGCAGATTATCATTTATTTTGTACGTCTTATCATCCAATGACATTATTATCGCGAGGTTGCTAATTTTTCCTAAGATGTTCCTAGTACTATTTCTACTTCACTTATATTAGATTATTGCATTATACTCGATTGTAAATCAACCATCTTTAAAAGACATAACCCTTATGTTAAAACAGTAGCATACCATTCGAATTTAATTTAAATCCGCTCTTTTGCTGTGAGAGAATCTAAAACCCTTGTAACAGCCCGTAAACAACTGGGGAGACGTCAGGCCTAAAGTGGTGA